TTTCTTTTTAATGTTAAACATATGTATTTTATAGTTTCTCTCTGTGTCACCTATTCTCTCCAGCCTTTGTGATATTAATTCTCCTGTTTGTTTTATCTGCTGCTTTCTATCCTATGAGCCATTTCTTGTGCTGTTTGTATTTTTTGACTGTGAGCTCATCTTTAATGGAATATTTTAATTGGTGTTTGGTGTGTCCAGGTTTGTAGAAAGTGGTTTTATTTTTGATTCTGCTGAGATCTTTTGGGTCTTACTGACATAGGCAATTAAAAAGTTACTGGATTGGAATTCCTGCTAAGATAAGTTGTATGAATTCAGATTCCACATGTGCATAGCATATGACACAATTGCATAGTTAATTTCTCATTGATGTCTTCTTTCCATCATCTACAGCCCTGAATGAATGGCACCATTTCTCAGTGCTTCCTGGGTTGATGGGAAGAGATATTTTAATCCTTTTTACAGTGTTTAATCCTTTTCACAGAACCTCTGTGAGGTTCTGGTTTTGTGCAGGAAGTTTAGCTGCATCTCCCACCTTGCATGGGCTGAGGTTATGTCCTCTCAATTTGCAGGAGTGGTAAACCCTGTTGTCAGCCACTACAGTCTGTATCTGGTCTGATACACCTTAAGCTCCCACTCACTACTTTGTTTTGGGCATCCTTCTTTTTTTCTGGAATGTAAGGATTTCTTTCTCTCGGACTGGACTATATGTTTAAAACAATTTCTTCTTTCTGTTTATATGTTTTGTAGGTGGAGGCGGCCTGTCTGCGTCAGCTCAGCCTGCCATTTTTCTGTTCCTTTAATATAAGAAATTAGAGACCAAGGACAGAATCCTGAGGCCCAATAACAGATAAACTACAGAAATAGGAAGTGAATTCTCACAAGGAGATGGAAGAAGTAGGGAGAAAAACTAAAAAAAAACAAGGAGAGAGCTGGCTCTTTGGAAACAAGGGAGAACGGAGCTTTTAGAAATTTTCTCTTATGATATGTGAGGCCAGCCTTTCCTAGGGGTGGCATATCATTCATTCTGCAAACTCGAGAGGCCTCTTCGGAGGGAAAACTCAGAGAAACAACAGCAGGAAGATCAGTTGAATTTACAAAGAGAATCTAATACACTGGTTCTCTCCACCCCTTGCCAAGGAGAACTCCTTAGGAGTAATTTGGAAACTTCTGGTTGCTCTTGTGAACCTAGGAGGGACTCTTCGCTCATTTTTACCTGACCATATCAACATCCACCCCACAGGACCTTCAGAGACAACAAGGAGTGGGTGACATTATTTTTTTAAGTTGCTTATTCATACTCTTCTCTCTCTATTGTTTACATCTGGTTATTTTGGGGCCAAGTGTGATATATATGATAAGAACAAGCCCACATTACTTAGATCCTGCACCTTCCTATCCCCACCATTCTTCCATGAACATTCTTAGCCATTACATTTTTGGATGACGACTTCTTTGCATTCCAATCACACAAATCATACACTTTGAGGTTCCTTTTAGGTTCTGATTAGAAAGTGTTTGGGCTTCCATTCAGAGGAATCTTAGCCCTAGTTCTTTAGATTATTGTGGTTGTGGAGGGACTCTTGCAGCTTGGAATATATTTTTTGGCCACACAGGCTGAGGGACCTATATACACAGATACTTATGAGCCTGCAATAAGAATGCTAGTTTTATGTTACTTCCTAAGTTTTCAAACAATGGCTGTCTTATGTCATCTTGCCACATCCCTGAAAGTGGGTAATAATGATATCAACATCCCCATTTTACCAATGAGGAATCTGAGGGTTAGAGAGGTAAAACGATGTTCTCAAAGTCCATGGTAAATTAAGATAGAGCTAGGTTCATAGGCCAGGCATTCCACGTCCAAACCTGGTGCTTTTCTTCCCACTCCATTCTGCCCATGCATGTTTGTGCAGGCCTAAGTGGAGAGACCCAGGTCTATGCCCAGTTTTCTGCCAATCTGATCACAAACTCCCTATGAAGCCTCTCTGCCCCTCATCCCCACCCCATGGTTCCTTCCTCCCCTTTCTCTCTTGGTCCTTGTATCTAAAGATATCTGTCACTGCTGCTGACAGACCTTAGGCAAAGGCAAACAAATTGTTGACCCAGCTCACAGAATTTACACCAAAATTTTTATAGCATTTCTAGGAGAGAAACAATGGCCAACACCATCTTTATTGGCATTACTTTTTATTGAATACAGACTTACAGTCTTTAAATAATTTGAATATAATGTTTTCAATGTCCAGTTCTTTAGTCATACATATATTTATTTAAAGCACAAAACTATAACTTAGAATGGAAAGGCGATAAATACACATGTACATATTGCCATAAATCTAAAAATATTTTATAAAAATAGAACTCAAATAACTTTATGTATTTTGGCAACTTAGCAGTATTGTAAGGTGGCCACATACATTTTTATTATGTATCACTGTCCCAAAATGACTGCCTCCAGGTTTCATTTTCCATCTCTTTGGGGACACTTGGAACAGTCTCCTTTACCAGAGTCCCCACAGAGTTGCCCATGGCCATGGCTCAGTACTGCCTTTGCATAAAGACTCTGTGCACCCACCTGTGCTTGGAGGGGGAAGACCAGCTTCCAACCTCTTCCTCAGAGAGAGGAGGTGTCCCTCCTGCCAGATGTCCCCCATCCACACTTCTTGAAGCCCTCACAGTATATGGTTGATATCTGAATATAGAGTCACTTTT